AAGAAAAGCTTGAATAATATGCAAACTGATGTTAAGGTATAAAGGGTTAAGTATATCAACTGTTTACCACACAGATGTGGTTACCATACCAGCTTTTCAAGGCCTGGAAGTTTGTCAGGGCTTTCTCTGTACCGCCTGGATGCTGGCCACCGTTTTAACATCACAAGTGCTGGGTCCTCACCGTCCAGTTCTCCATTTACCTTGTAATTCTGAATTAGCCTTTCAACTCGAACTTCGTTCATAGCTCTGCTCCATGACAATCCTTCACTCTGCTTTTCATGAACCTACGTACGAATTGAAGATAGATATGTTGGAGCTCAAGCTTTTCTTCGCCAACAACATTTTGAGTCCATAGATTACTCAAATTTGGAATTATCAGGGTTTCCTTGCGTTTTCACCTTGATCCAAAACTCTCTCGATGTGGCGTAATCCCAATCCAGAAAATCCCCTTTCTCATAATTTTTACTTAGAGGTTCTTGATCTTCGTCACTATTTCCTTCGTCACCTTGTTCGAAAAACTTCCCTTTTCTCATCTTTGAATCACTTATCATCAGCTGGAATATCAGTTCAATGTATTTTATTTGACAGAGCCTGTTTACGGGGTAGAAATTAGGCGTGTGGTTCTCTTGACCCTTCAATGCGTCTTAGGTTCAAATCGCCCAGCAACTGAACAACTACTACGCATGTCAAGATTTTTACGCGGGCTCATACAGGGTAGCCTTTGAGTAATCAAGCTGGTAAGGGGAGGGGGAGTGGTCGACTGAATATTAGTAACAATGGTGGACTTGCCAAGTGCATGTCCTTCCTAAAAATTGAACATATTTAATCCCTTTGCAAAAATTTCAAGCTAGAATAAGCCTCCTGATGATATCGTCTGAAAGAATGTGTTATATCATGAGTGAGAGCAGCAAACGAGTGAGAAACTTACTATACCTACAAGTAATCATATATCACTTTTTTTTATCACAGAAACAAATAGGCTCTTTACTGACATGAAAAGTCGACTTTATTGATGAATGAAAAAAATCCTGAAAAAAAATGTGTTCAACGCGTTGGCCATAAAAAAAGTTTTCAGTTATTATCTTTTTCCATACCAACAGGTTATACCGCTCTAAATCCATGATTTAGAGCGGTATAACCCTTGAATTCCCAGACGGGGAAGGTAGGTAACTTTTCTTATAATAGATACATCTTCCTGAAAACAAGAGACAAAAATTAGTAGACAACTAGAGGTACTATGTCACGTTCGGCTCTTTTTTTTTTAAATTTAATGTCTTACACAATCTTGGGTTAGTCTTTTCAGGAGGTTATAAACTGTTTATAATAGGGACCTTAAGCAGTCAGGACGGCAACGCCAAGGAAGACTTCGATTAATAA